AAATTATTTGTAACGCTTGCGACAAACATAACCCTTCAAATATTATCATCACTTCATATATAGGGATTTTTAGAGTCGTATAACATCAGAAAAATTATACATGTTTAGTAGTAAATCTACTGGATAGTATAGGCTACTGCTACTGCAATTAAGTGGATGAAAATTAAATTTATGGAATATTTTTTAGGTAAACTTTTTATGTTAGAGTATTTCCCTCAATCACAAAGTAGGTTTGCAACCTAAATTTAAAATATATTTCCCTGATGCAATCAGTTAAGTGGTATACCAAACCTACCGCTAATGATGAAAAGCTTTTTCATTGGTGTAGTTTGTCAAAGTTGTGGCCTAACCACAAGAGTAAGCTTCCTGAGTCGGTGCGACAATATTTGCCTCTTAAAGATGACTTAAGTGGTTAATAACCTATTGTAATAGCTCATTGTTTTAAGAACAAAGTATAGTCATTCAGAAGGTATGATAATAAATTAAATTTACAGAAGGTGGTGTTATCCGCACTTAGGAATGAACAAAACTCAGCTCAGGATCAAAAACTAAATGTATTAGCCAAAATGAACTCACAAACCTCAGATGTTTCACAAATATTTCCAGCTAAGTATGCAAATCAAGAGGAAAAATACTCTTTAACAAAGGTGGTTGTTAGAACTGTTGAAACAAATCAATGACACATTTTTCTTCACTTTCAAACAGTAGGCTACAATTCTTCAACGATCACACTCCCCAGCAGCGCATGCCGTCTTCAGCACGTGCTCGGCCTCCTTCACCCCTACTTTGGCCGCATGTTTGATCAACTCATGCGCCTCCCCCTTGCGCTCCAGCCGATGGAACCCCTGGATATGCGCCACCCCTAGGTTGTAGCTAGCATGGCCGTGGCCCTGCTTAGCGGCCTCCTTGAACCAATAGAACGCCGTCGTCTTGTTCCTCACCACTCCTCTTCCAGTGTAGTACCGCTGACCTAGGATGTGCTGCGCGTCCTGGTCCCCCATGGTCGCGTAGAACCTCAGCGCCTGGACGTGCACGTACTCGTACTCGTAGATCACGTAGCCCATCAGGCCAACGAGGAGAATCATCATCGCCAGTTGGAGGTTGGTGAAGGTCACTTCGTCCTCGAGGTACTTCTTCTGGACCGGCTTGGCGTGCACGGGCTCTTCAGACTCTGATTCGGAGGACATTTTAACGTAAGTTCACACAAGATCGATAGACTCAATAAAATAATTGTGGATGTTTGTTTTTATAAATCAGATGGTTAATTATTGTGGTGTTAATTTAATCACAGGTTAAGAACAATTTTTCAGTCGTCTGCAGATAGACATTTACGTCGTTGATTAAATAGTTTGATATTGTGATGAGGTTACAGAATGTGATTACACAATGTGAAAACATTGAATACACATGCATATAAACATTACGTATTGGTAAAGGTATATCATATTCTATAATTTATATGTTATACCTCATATTGCACGTCGAGTACATAGTCATTACTGGTTTGTTTTATGATATTTACGTTTAAGAGGTATTATGGTGCAAACCTTTAGAAATCACACAATTTGGTTATAAATCCATATAGTTACAGTCAAACAGCCGATCAAGGAATAATTGTGTATGCTATCTACTGTATTTATGGCGTATAATACTGTAAAAGAGTTGATAAACTACATTAAACAGGAATATTCTTTCATACGATATTAAATTTTTAAATTTCCACTGTATCCTATAATAGTCCTTAATAAAACTTTTTACCAAAACATTCTTAACTTTCTGATATTTCCCCTATTGTATTAAAAATGCCAACAAATGCAGTACACATACTCTGAATGTTGAAAATTGTCCTAGTGTTTGTCCTAGTTAAAAAAGGCCGAGTGAAATAAATCCTAAAATAACACAAACTAGCGCACTTGTAGATTCTCTCATGGATTCTCTCCATAAAAATAGCAGAGAATAAGCACATGTGACACTACAGTATAAAAACAATCAACCTTTTCAATCATATTCATGTGCACTATTTGCAGCCAAGTTGGAAATATCTTTCCTATTCCAGCTCGAGCCATTGTTAAGATGAGTTTAATCAAGTTTAATGGTCTGCCGATTTCTTGGGAGGCTTTTTGGCAAAGGGCGGCCGCAGGTCTGATTTAAGGGCCAGAAACAGGGAACAAACGACGTTGCCCTCGATAGTCAAACATCAGCTGTTCACTGCCATTTACATCTTACAACCGACGTTGGCATTGTATTAGGCGTCACTTGGCATTCCACTTACATGCCAAATTAGAGTTGAACCGCGCGATTAGCAAGATGGACACGATAAATAAATCTAGTCTTTGGCCTTGACAAAAGTTTATGTTGAGTTTGATGCAGTCTTGTTGAGTTACCACTTTAAGTGATAAACTGTGTAAATCTGTTGCTGTTTTTATATTTATTGATCTGAGTTTTAGTTTCAAAGTAGTAGTGTGGCTAGTATAGTCTGTAGATCGTTGAAGCTTCGTCCATAAGAGCCTGGGTTAAATAGATGAACTCACCATAATAGCTTTGGCTATTGCTAGAAGGACCATTGATATCGTAATCCTGTAGCCAGTTAAAATACCCCCGCCGCAGCAAACCTGCAGACTAAAAGAATTTAAACTTGTCTGATTACATTTTTACTAAAATATTTCCATAAATAACACATATTTATTCCCAATTAAAATACAGTAACATTAGATTTAACGAGTGCATAGGTTTGCTGCTACGGGAAAGGTAAAAAGTGTTTTTTCCAAAGGTCAATAGTATAGGATGAAATAAATAAATTTGCCAAATTTTATAAATATACATCCATAAACAAGTAAACTACAACAGTTTTCATTTTCTCCATAAGAATAACATAGGAATTTTTAATTACACTATTTTTTTTATTTTCTCCGTGACCGTTAGGCATACAACAATGCTTCAATATACTACATTATTTCCATTTTAACCTCTTCAAAACGGTTCCAAAAGAAATTGCAAAATTTGTAGTTTTTAGGGTAAAAAATGGGAAAACCCCATTTTTACCCCATAAACCCCCGTTCCCATGTCCGATTATGCTGGTTCGCGAAGTTTTTCGGCCTCAAACCATAACATTTCCCAATTTCTCTCTAAACCGTTTTGTTGAGCTTGAAAACCAAATAATTTAGTATACCTATTTAAGTATTTTTGTACGGTTATTAGTTTCGGAGAAAATTATGTATAGTTTTAAATTGCTATGTTTCTTATTCAGAATAAGTAAATTGATGCAGTTTATACAGATTTATAGATTTTTATTTCGATCAAACTTGGCCAAATTATTTATTTTATATTAAGCTATTAACATTTTAGTAAAAAAACACACTTTATTACCTTCCCGGTAGCGACCAATTAAACCCAATGTTATTTAAATAGTGACTAAATCTGACATGTTTAAGGAAATATTATAGTGACAATCCAATCAGGCAAATAGAAATTAGCTTACTGCAGATATGCTGAAGCGGAGGTATTTCTTTTTCTTATGAACCATGCTTTATTTTAATGGCTATGCAGTTAATTTACAAAGATCTGATGTAAAGTCTAACTTGCTCACGAGTTATATAAAAACGTCTTTGTCTAGCAGCTCAGAATACACCATAAACTGAATGTAAACCAATTTCTAAAAATAATATAATTTTAAGGCAAGGAGAGCTCTCACAACTTAAAGTCATACACTATATCCCCATACTTGAAAACTTGATGATTTGCGTTGTTTGCTATTGCACCTTCTTGGGCCATTATGTATCCATGATCATAGACAACAAGAATTAAATATAGACCATCAGCTGTGCTGCGGTTACCATAGGTTCTAGCGCACACCGCTGGGAGCGCCATGTAGTTACGTACGCGCTACGTAACTAAACGGCGCTCCCAGCGGTGTGCACCAGAACCTATGGTAACCATGGTAACCATAGTACAGCTGACAGTCTATAGTTCATTCTTTTTGTCTATGCCATGATGCAATGCATTTTAACAATCAAATATTTTGTTCAATTTTCATACAACTTTTGATTTTTTATACAATATATTAGTCACTGCATACAATAATTTTCATACAACTTTTGATTACTTATACCATAGTCATATTAGTCACTGCAATAACATACTAAAACAAATATACAATCAAGTCACAATTAATTCTCATTCCTGTTAATAAGCTTTTTGTGAGCTCAAATGGTATCGGCTTCGTAGCCTACTGTCTTGCAGGTATCCTATGGTTTTATGTAAATCGCAAAAATATACGTAGGCTATTTCTTTAACAACTGTGTTAGTGTAGGTAGTCTAAACAAAACAGCTGACAGAAACATTATTAAAAATGATGTAGTTCGTTTGTGTATGTATACCCTAATTTAAGGGGGACATTTACCATTTTACATATCTCCAATGTAAATAAATTATCGCTAAATAAATAATGCTAATGTTTGTTGTAACACGGAAGGCAATTAGGTGATGTTTCAAATTTTTTTCTATGTTTTATTATATTTGGTAATGGTATGATTGTTGGTAGGCCTGGTATATGGTATAATTTTGGTTGGCATAAAATATGCCATATACCTATTTTAAATTAGGATGAATACAGGTTGGCATGACTAAAATGCCCCCACAGCAAACCTGCAGACTTCCCGAATAGCGAATTAGCATTTCCAGATAGTTATTTGAAATAATGAATTGTACACAGAGTTTATAGTAATATCAATTGGATTTATCAATAGACTACCTACATAATTATTTTCAAATATGTTACCTTAAGATAAAACATTTTTAACACCATTTATTTTAAAACGTACTCTTGAAGTTTTGCAATTATTCAACTCTTCAAGTAGTTTTATTCGGTACGTTTTATTCAGCAAACCAACAAAATAATTTAAGGTATGAAAACCTATTCAGCACTAATGCTGTAATTCATAAACAATTAAGAAAATAGCTCCTCCTCAAATCCAAGCCAATAGAATAAAAAAGGTACTTACCCCAGACTACCGGCCTGTCATGGAACACTAGGTCTCCAGGTTTCAAGTCCCGGGTGGCGAAGACCCCCCGGCCACCGATGTTGGAGGGTTGGATGGTCCAGGAGTCCTCGTCTACGCCAAGTGTTCGTCTCAGGTAGGCTCGGAGGGTAGCCTCTGTTCGGCCACACATTCTCACAACTTACTGACCACTAATCTATGCGCGCCGATCCACCCTGGCGCATGCGCAATTCAGACCACAACACATGACAACTATTGCTTTAGATGTCGTACTGTGCTCTAAAACTATAATCATTAAGTTCTACACGGTATATATAAGCAATACAAAATTGTTTTGAAAATAACTCAGTCAATTAAAATAATATCCGGTTCGAAGGACCAAATTCTTTACTTATTAAGTTATCGTTTCGTTTTTATTATTTTGTGCGTTTCAACGTCAGCTGATATTTTAGTTTTAAAGGGAATGGTCTGGAATAAGCCAAGTTTTTTTTGGAAAATATATACTGTACTTTGGTTTGATAATTATCTATCTTGAAGAATCAACATTATAAGTTTTGGATACAGAAGTAGTCATCCTCTATAGACTTGCTGAATGCAATCTTTTTTACAAAAAAGGACATAGTTGATTGAACAGCTTAACGAGTGCGCTACAGTCTAAAATTCTGTATCGCCCTTAGGTTTTGTTTCTGTAGTTAATGTGATAAATGATGCTATGGTTTACAATACGCATTTTTCAGCTCGGCTTGGTCAAAAAGTATCACAGAAATTGTTAATTTTTGTCAGCGCACTTTGCCGGTGACCCAATTAAACTAACTATGTTTTAATTTTAAAATGGCTACCTACAACCATAGATGAAACATATCCAACCATTGACCTTTCGATGCTATAGCGGACATCCTATCTATATCGGAACAGCTGCAGCTAATTTATTGACTAAAAAAGGACATAGGTGAACGAGGCCACTCACCGTTTCCTAAGGTAACAAATAAATGGTATTACGCCCTTAGATTTTGTTTCTGTGACATTTTATGCCATTGCTTTGGTGAACGATATCTTTCTTTCAGTTTGGCTTGGTTAATTGTGTAAAGTGTTAGCAATACTTCAAACAGGGTTATTATTTACCCAGTCATCAATACATATGTGTTCGTTACTTAGTAATATATTCTACTAGCAGAGTACCCGCCCTTCGTATGGGGTTGGTATATAAGTATAAAACTAGTGAACCTGTGCGGCTCAATGCCCCGCAAAAACATATGAATTTAGAAAACAAATTCATCGTGTTATATATTGACTCGTCGAAAATTAAATACAGTAATAATAAAGTCTTAGAAGGGAAGCAATCCAGCCATTTTCTAGCTGTATGCGTATTATATTTAGTAAATTAATAAGTGTTCAAGTTCAAGTATGTTACATGGTAGTTATTTTTTAAGATTCTTAAAAACACATTTAACAAAACATTTTATCATATCAAACCAATAGGCAGTGAATGTAGCATATACCTATGTGAGGGTCATAAAATGCTGCTTGAAGAAAACACTTTTAAAAATAAACACTGAAAAACAATATTTTTATCACAAAAGCACTTCCATAAATACTACGATTTTAGTCTTAAAGTTACCTTCAGGAATATTACCCTGGTCAGAATTTTCCGTAATGAATATGCTTATCCTACTATTAAAAGATGTAGCCTTACTTAAAACAACATATACAGTATATAGTTGTTGCTCATGACTGAAATTGGTCTGGCTAAGAACATTGCTGCTCTTTAATTAAAGTACTTTTGCTGCAAATGCCAAAGATAACAGAAATTAGCATCTTTCCATTTTAAAAGGTAACTTTGTTTCAGACGGGCAAATCTTTTATCATCGAAATCAAAATATGTCCCTACTCACTTGTTCCATGTTAGGACTTTACTTTCTACTTTACATTGTTGTTAACCGTTCTGATCACACGAAGCCTCGTGCCATTAATGAGCCCCTTTTTGATGTATTAATATCAATAAAACCGCTGACTCCTTTTATTAGTATAATCTGTGTCTTGGCAATCCACTGACCTCTATATTTAAAAACTCAGTTGGATTTTCTAGATGGGTGCCTCTGCCTTCGACTGTTTTCAAGGATCCACTCTTCCCCTTGGCATACTGACAATTAATTACCTAACTTGTAAAGTTCATGTAGTAATTCATTAATACTGTTAGTATATAAAGAAAATTAGATAAAAAGTACTTGGCTTGGTGCTTTCATAACTGCAAACTCAAAATACACCCACAAGTAAAAAAGAATCAAGTTATTGGTTAAAAAAACTATGTTTATGTAAAAACATTATTCACATGAAGTAGATGATTTGTTTGATTTCTCGATCAGCTGTTTCAAAGATTTGTGATTTTAAATACATCAATTATTATAGTAAAGTTTTCTAAATATGGTAACTTATTCTCAACTAAATTTTACTATTCCCAGCATGAAAATAAAGTAGTGAGATCCGTTATGAGTAAAGTTTAAGGCACACAATCATTGATTGAAATGTAGTATACATTAACAGTCATAATACATAGCAATTATTATTTAGTAGACTTTGACTATTTTCAAATAACAAACATATGTTTCTGTAAATAAAAATTATCTCCCTTGTTATCCTTATGGAGAAATACGAAACTTTAAAGGGCCCCAGGGCCTCACTCTCTAATTATTTCCTTAAAAAGAAGGTTTCCTGCACAACTTCACGTTACGCTCTTTCCAATGACACCAAAAACATGTCAATCGGTTCAGTAGTTTCGGAGGAGTAATTGTCACAAAAATCGTGCTTGCGTATTAAATAAGTACTAGAGGTCGTCCAGTGGTCGAAACTCGACCAAAAATATTTAATGTACAGACTTCTTTATTTTCATTCCACACTTTGAATAGAACATGTGATTGGAGTTTCTTCCATTTGTTTTGATTTTCTGTTTATATTTCGTTGTTATTTCGTCACCAGCATGGCAACTCATAATATCCATGTTAAATTTTTCAAAATTTTTAATTCATTTTTTGTGCTTATTTTTGAGCCTATTTAAATTTATAAAGGGATTCTGCACACCTACAGGAAAATAGCTTTCTAACAGTATGCGTGGATTTTCCCTACGATGCACACGAGCTGAGAAAAAAGGTTTTAAAGAAACATGCTTGCCTATTAATATATAGATAGATAGATGCTTATTGCAGTTATACTCAAGCTTTGTGTTTGCAATAAGAGAGGACACAATTTGATAAAATTTGCTTTTTTAAATTTACAGTATTCTATAGTATTACACATACACATCTACCATAGCACAATACAATACCATAGCCATAAACAATCCTACTTTGACAGTTCTCATTGCGAATCACCGTTTTTTTTTAGCGAATTTCCCATATAGGGAATAAGCAATTACCGTAGTACTCATGGACGCGACCTGGACGCGGGACCGATTTTTTTTTTCGTTTTGAGGTCCCTAGAGGCCAAAAACACCATCCGTTCAAATTCATATATATATGTGTCCGTCAGCACGATAACTCGAGCAAAAACTATCCGATTTGGATGAAATTTGGTACAAACGTGTAGACGTACGTTTATTCGAACGAGTTCGCGATCCAGCATGATCGGACCATGGGAACGGGGGTTTACGGGGGGTTTTATGGGGTAAAAATAGGTTTTTCCTATTTTTGACCCAAAAAACATAAAATTTAGCAATTTCTTTCCAAACCATTTTGTAGAGCTTAAAAAAACAAATAATTTAGTATATTGAAGCGTTATTATGCGCCTAATAGTTACGGAGAAAATTCCAAAAAATTGTAAATTTAAAATTCCCATGTTATTCTTATGGAGAATAAGTAAACTGTTGTAGTTTGCTTGTTTGTGAACATATTTTGATCAAATTTCTCACTACCTATTCACATTTTACAAAAAAAAAGTTTTACCCTCCCTGATGCAGCAAACCTAAGTACTTGTTAAACTAATTCTATTTAAATCAAGAATAAATGTTATATTTTTAAGTAGACATTTCAGTGTAAATCCAATCAGTCAAATGGAAATTCGCTTAGTCTGCAGGTTTGCTGCGGCGGGGGTATTTTTTTGTTGCTGCTTAGTTCAAATTAGCTGTTTTCATAAATGCAAAAAAAATAAAGTGCTGCACCCTGTCGGTAAATCTTATAACTTTTTAATGCTTTTCCATATCATAGTACCAAATTTTTTAGTCGAAACAGCTGACTAAATTCTTTAATTCCCTTTAAATGTGAATACTCATAAGGTTAACATGGGGAATTACAGAGCCACTGGGGTGGAGCCCGAAAGGACTTTTGAGATAAGAATATGCCTATATGTTAATCGGGAATGTAAGCTATCATCATGCCAAAGATCAGCCCAATCCGTCCAGTGGTTTATGCGTGATTGAACTTCAAACACACAAACAAACAAACACACAAACTTTCACATTTATAATATTAGTAAGATTAATATTAAAAAATAGTAGATGGTATAAAAAAAATTATAGAAGAAGGGAACAAAAAAAATAAATAACTGAATATGTGAGATGTTTAAAGATGTTGACCAGCAAAACAACAAGACACAATAGGGAGTAAACTTATGCAAAAAAGGAAAAAACAAACAAGAAGACTATTTAGTTTTCTTTATACAATGAATTTACTTCGTGATATTGTCGTTGATTTTTTCGACGTCTGATTTCGTATACAAAATTATGCCTATAAAATAATATGAAAATGATGTACTACTTTTATCCGCGTTTGAAGAGTATAATTTATAAACCCCTGGTCGAAAATAGCGCAAACAATTCTTTATACACAGATGACGAAGGTACACTAATTTTAGTTTGAATTCAGATTGAAATTTGCACGTGCAAATGAAATGCCTTGACACATGAATAAGACCAGCATTTTGGCTTTAGTCCAAGCTAAAACAGTTTGACATTCGGCCTTGAGGAGGGAGATTTGATTAATTCAGGAACCGGAAACGTCACCTGTTCCTCGTCATCAGGTGTGCCAACTTAGACGTATTTAAAATAAACATTCATAGGAAAACAAATTCAATTAAATTATACTTCACGTTGATGATTATATCATTTTGTGAGCTTGTAAACGTAACTTATATTTTCTTTTGTATGACGGATTAGTAGACCATAACCTTGTTGTGTTTGTTGACAGATAAA